CAAATCATAATATAACGCGTTAAGACATACTATCGTAATATATTATATCCGTTCTCTTTTAAATGCAACATTGAACTTTTTGCATTATTCATATGTTCTACTTTAACTCTATTTTATTTAATACAGAGTAATGTGTTATAAAATAAATTAAAAAAAGTGTTAAATTCCTCTCATTTTCAAATTTCGAAATCTATTTTTTTCTATTTTTTTTACTAATATTTGTATAGTTCTCAAAATTTGTCAACACACCAGTTTCACGTTTACCAACACACAACTTTGACCACTAATATCTTTAATTCCTTCTTAACAAAAAATTAAAGAAAAATTGGAAAATTTTAAATGAGAGGAATTTAACATTTTTTTAAATTAAATTTATAATACATTACTCCGTATTAAATAAAATAGAGTCAAAGTAGAACATGTGAATAATGCAATAAGTCCAATGTTGCATTTCAAAGAGAACGAAGGTATTATATTATGTTATAACTTTATACAACACATTGTATTATGATTTGATAGTAGTTTTCATTCTAATTTATTTAGATATTAAATCAGAATTTTATAAGTTATGTTTTGTCCTATAAATATGTTGATTTACATGCACTAACTAACCGTTAGTGGACCAAATTAATATGAATTACATAGATTAGGAACTAAAATGATAGATTTGTTAGTTCAGGAACCAAAATGATATGATGCCAATAGTTTAGGGACTAGTTATGCATTTATAAAAATACAAAAGATCATACATTACCATATCATATTATAGTCCAATTAAAAACATGTCGTTGGTGTTCAGGCAAGTGAGATATATCTCTATAAGGCAGTACTGTTCTAAAGGAGTGTTTGGGTTTGCTTAAAAAAAGCGTTTTTCAGCTTTTGGCTTAAAAAAAGTTGAAAAGAGTGTTTTCAAATGACAGCTTCTGCTTAAATTAATCACTTAAAAGCTAAAAGCTAGAAGCAGGTAGAAGGGTGCTTTAAACTGCTTCTCACTTTTTCTATTACACAAAAAGTACTTATTTTACCAAACACTACCAATTTTTACTTTTCCAGAATCACTTTTTCTCAAACACAAAAAGTACTTATTTTACCCACTTGCGTCACGGGAAGCTACCTTTATTGGAATTGAAGTAGAGAAGTGCTCTTATATTTATAGCAACATTGGGGTAAAGAGTTGTTTGCTCAACCGGTGTGGGAAATTTAAGTTCTCCTTATGAGGAAGAATAGAAAGGAACACACAAAACCTTCTCTTGCAACTTGGATTACATTTCGGCTTTGGTATTACTACCTCCATCCCCCTAAGTTTGGGACAAGAGGAGATGACACGGTTATTAATAAAAATGGGTTTATATGGTTGATATTGAATTGATAAAGTAAGAATAAAGTAGGAATGATTTAGAACCATACAAACTTTACCAAATAAGGTATGAGACAATCTTAGTGGGACGGACCGAAATGATAAAATAGGACAATCATAGCGGGACGGAGGGAGTATAGAATAAAATTGTTCAACCACCAATTGGTAACGTTTAAACTTGTTCAAAGTATATTCTTTTCATCATCATTCATGATGGAAAATTCATTATCATTATCAGAAACAAGTATATATTTATGATTAAAACAGATATGGTTTATAAAATATCACATTTTCATTTTAGTAACTTGAATCAAACTAAGGTGCCGTTTGGTAACACCCTTTTTCGGCTTATCAGACTTATCAGCCAACTTTTCTACCAAATATGTAATTTTTGCTTTAGCGCGCTGAATTGCGTAATAAGCAGAAAAGGTAAGTTTGGAGTTACTTTTCTGGCTGTATTGGCTGAAGTTACTGTAGATGACCATTTTAGTTATTTTTACATATAATTTTTTCTTTATTTTATAAATAAAATATATTTTAATTGTTTTTTTAAATCAGTAGAACCAGCCAATGCAGCCACTTCAGCCATAACTTCAGAAATTTCAACAGAATCAGCCAAACCAGCCGATTTTTCTTCTACCAAACGGGCTCTAAGTAATATATTCTTTCAAAAGTGTATACTCCTGCAGATTTAGGATTGGAAGTTTTTTTTATAACTTTAATCAGTGTGACTTACCTTATTACTTAAGATTTGAAAGTGTATAACATTTTCATTGTAGTACCTTTAATTTAATTAGACAAAGAGGTCACACTTCCAACATCCTTGATACAAAACGCTTAAGGCTTAAGAGTTAGGATTTGAAGATTAGGCTTAAGAGTTAGGATTTGAAGATTTTTTGTTGTTGAAAATAAGATAAGTATGATGTTTTTGAATAGCATTATCTAATATTTCATTAAAATATTTAAAATAGTTCTAGAAAAACTAAAATAAATAATAAAAATTCAAAACGCCTTTTCACGCCTCAGTGACGCCTAAGCCCGCCTAGGCTCCAAAGGCTTAAGGCTTGGACGTGCCACCTCGGAACGCCTTACGCCTTTTAGAACATTGCTCTAAGGTGAGAATCAAGATGAATCAAACAGTAATATGTTATTGCTGAACATTGATGGCTTGTTGTTATCATTTTTTACATGTGCAATGTTTGATCATTTTCAGCTGTTCGCCAATCAAAAAATCTATTGGTACACATTTTTCATACACACACCTACACACTCATGTTTGTGAAGAGTATCTTTTTATTTGTATACAGACAGAAAATACGTTATGTCTGTATACAGACAAAAAAATACTCTTCACAAACATGAGTGTGTAGGTGTGCGTATGAAAATGTGTACCTCAAGCTGGATTGGTTCGCCAATTTGGTAGCTATTTTGCTTTATTGTATTTTTTATTCTCTATCAGTTTGGTAGAAGGTTGTGGGTCACTGGGTCTGGGTCATAAACTATATTGTACTATCTTCCTTGGAGGTTGGTAACTTAAATTTCCCACTTGTCCTTTTTAGATGTCACAATTACAGCTTCATATTTATTTTAGAAAGTAATTATCATTCTTAAACGACAAATTAATCTTCAAATAATAAAATTATACACCTATGACATCGAATTTATCATCAATCACATCATTGTGTAAAATACTCATCATAGTTAATTATATAAATACTTTCAAATTATCTTATTTAATTGTTTTCAAAATAAGCGTGTCAATCTCAATGAGAAACACAAAATGAGACGGAGGTAATATTATTTTGAAGGATTGGTTGCAGAGAATTTTTGTTGAGATTAAAGGAGAGATGATCAATATGCATGGTCACTTTTGGCTTGTGATTGTCCATAAGTTATATGCAATCCAAGTTATTTGCTTCGGTGTGACTACTTTTTTTTTGTCTAATCTCATGATTTTTCGCATTAAATTGGTTTAGATTAATTTTAATTGATTCATATAAGACTGTTTACCATAAAAAGATCTGTTTTCTTTATGAACGCCCTCAATCTTTCATTAATTAATTTAAATTATTTCATTTCCTTTTAATTTCTACCGAATCGCGTGCACGCTCACACTTGCACTTGCTGCCTCTAGCAATCACTTCCAACAACTATGATAAAAATTATTGTCAGCAAAAACAAAGGAAGTCATGAGAAAAAGTTTGTCAATTTTTTTTCATACTTTCAATATAGGAAAATGATTCTCACACCCACGATGACATATTCTACAACGAAAATAATATCAATGTAAACGATAATAACACTGATAAGTGACAGGTGGTGACGTGATACTTCTACAGTAACATAAAAAACTATTAGTGACATAGTATACTTGTAGAGGCGTTAATAATTTATGATTTTGTTGATTTTATTTCTTACAATGTGAGGTAGCAACTCTAAAATGTTATAAATAGAAAAACTTCAATGGTTGAAAAGACCATTCAATCAAATGGATAATTGGCATACCAATACATGAATAACTTTATAAATACAAGAACATCACCTTCAATATGTGACATGTCCTATACATGTAAAGATAACAATAATAATAATATTAGAACTAGAATTAAGCATTTTAATAGTAACATTAATTCGGCAATTACCATTATTATCTCACATCACTCTTATATCTAACTAGCCACGAGTGTTATCATTAGTTAACGACCACAATATCACAGAGCGGGACGGATAATGCAATATTCAGCCCCGCTCCATTACTATATTACCTTGTCTACATGCACCTGCTTGCTCATGCAAGGTGGATTCGCCAGCCCTGCCTGCCCCAAGTAATATCTCGATGTTTATTAGTTGCAAGTACTATATTTTCATTTTTATTTTTGTCAACACATAAATTTGACTATTAACGTATTTCTTTAATGGGAGGAATTTAATAATATTTTTCAAAAATTAAATTTATAACATACTAATAAATAAAATTCAATCACAGTAGAGCATGTGAATAATGTAAATTTTAAATATTCTATAAACACACACATATATGTATGTTTATGTAAATTAATAAAATATTTTTTTAATGAAAAATAGTTTTAAAAACATATATTTACTTTGATATACATTTTGATAAACATTTTGATAAACATTTTTAATACGGTCCTAATTTTGCAAATAATTTATTTTTACATTAATCTGAAAAAAATCAATTATTGATGATATTCTTATAACTATTTTTTTTTTTTGAATAATAACTAATTTTTATTTCGCTAATACTTTTGATAGAAAAAATATGCATAATCAAAATAAATTAGGGAGAGTAAAGTAAAATGAAAAATTGAAAATAATAATTCCAACTATTGTCGTCTGCTAATAATAATCCTAACTATTGATTATTTTTGTATAATCCCAATTATATGGACCGTCCGGCAATAGTGGTCCATGACCAGATATTACCCGCTTTAAGAAGTGAATTTTAAGCGTAAAAGTTAAAAGTTGGTATTATATATAGGGATTACTTGTTGTATCTCTTCTCATCCACATTAGAAATTATAGAAATTTATTTATAGTCTGTCACTTCGGACCATTATTGACAAAAGGTCTCTAAAATTAGAATTATTTTGAAATATTGAGATTATTACGAGCGGACACCCACATTTTTCCAACAATTTTTCCAAGTAAGGACATACCGTTGCAAGCTGAGGAACTTGCTGCCAGAATCTTATAGCTCTCCTAATTAGCAGAATCATACTTCAGCCTCCCCGCCACGGTTTCATTTCGCTGCTCCACCACACACATGACGACGACAACCGCGCCTAACGCTGAAGTCGACCCGAAAACCCTACCGCAGTCGCCATCTCAACAGCCGGATTCTGATGCATCTGAAGTAGCTCGCACCGCCATCCAGCCTCCAAGCGAATCCAAGACAGCGGTCACCACCACCGTGGTCAACAACAGCAGCGGCGAAGTTGATATTCAGAAGAAGATTAAGCGTGCCGAGAGGTTCGGAGTGCCCGTGCAACTATCTGAAAAAGAAAAACGAAATTCGAGAGCTGAAAGGTACGTGTAGATACCGAAGTCCAACTTAGGGTTAGGGGTTTTGTTCATTTCTATTTTTATTGAAATTCTGTTAATCTTTGTTTTCCTTATCATGCCAAACGAGCACATTTGACAAATACGTTGTTGATCCCTGCTTCGTATATGAGAAAAATCTATGTCGTACTTTGGGTTCCTTAGGTTTACAAAAAGACTTCAAAGAAATACATTACACTAAACCTTGCTCCGAATCTCTGTAATTGGAGAAGGTGAACCTGGGTTCTTCTAAATCTTGGGTTCTTGTAGTAAAATTGAAAATCATCGAAGTGAACCAAGAATTAAATTGGTAAAACCCTCAACACTAAAACACACAGACCATTTATAGGAGCGTCTCATTTAAACTTTCTTGAGATTGCGCAACTAAACTGCTCTAATGAAATAATATAAGGAGTACAGAGTTTTGATTGAAAACACTCCTTAGTTTGCAATAAGTTACTCTACAATGTTATCACCCCCCTTCTTGTTCTAGACTTCCAGCACACAGATTTATCATCTCATACATTTTTAATTATGTACTCCTATATATTTATAATGCATGTGCTACGTAAATAAGTTCTAGTTTCGATGCTCTCCTTTCCCATAGGGTCTTTTTTTATTGGATTTCTTTTCTTCACTGAGTATACCACCCATCTTCAGAAGTGGAACATGGAGTTATATTTTTTCCCATTTAAATATTTTTTGTGGCATATGTGGAAAATGTATAGACTAGTTAGATACTATGATTTTGAAAGTCCATTTTCGCAGGATGAAATGATCTTGATGCCTTTAATTGTACTTTTCTTGGGATAATTAGCCCTTTGTTCCGTTGAGAATCCAGCAGGACTAGGTGGTGCAGAGCAATACTTAGCTAACATCTTTGCATCTCTTACTGGTTTCATTATTTGTGAATAAGTAAATTCAAATAATATGATCTTATTGTTCATCATGCAGTTATTTGGTCATGTTTTCTTGTTAATTATACTCTAGTAATGATGCTCTTATAGGTATTTGTATTACTCTTTTGAATTGGACATTTCTTAATTTAGGTTTGGCACCACTTCTTCAAATCCTGGATCAGATTCATCAAATAAAGCAGAGGAAGTGAAGAGGAAGGCTAGGGCAGAGAGGTAAGCTACTTGTATCCATTATGGTATGTTTGATTGCAAGAAATATAATAAAAGTTGCTGCTTAATGATTTCCATGGGGGTCATTTTTGAATAATATAGTGTCTAATGTTAAAAACGGAAACAATGGAAATTTGTTCATGAAGAATGATTTTCCCTTTCAAAAGAGGAAGTTATTCCCCATACATTTAAGAATATGTTCGCTATTGCCAATGAAATTGAAAATGATAATGAAAAATATGAGTAATGTTTTAAAAACTTTTGTTTACATATGTTCAGACTTCAGATTTCAATGTCTATGTACAAGGAACGTATAGATTAGATGAGTAGATGGCTTAACAAAATAAATTTACTGAGCTTCAGAAAATGTTTTGTTTACCCTTGCATTTTCTTTCCTTCCAAATTTCCCTTACATTTTCTTCCATGTCTTTCTTTTTTGTTTTCCGAGTTCCAATGGACCTTAAAACAACTGGATTCTATTTTCCTGAAGCAAAACACGGATCCATTGTCTATTTTTCTGTAATTGTATATTGTATTCATATTACTAGTGTTGTTTGTGGTTGAGTTCTCTATCATGCTCTTAGGTTTGGGCTTGAACAAGTTGCCCCAACGGACGAGGAAGCAAAAAAGAAAGCAAGGCTTGCAAGGTTTGCGCCAGTCGCAAAAGTTGATCCTGTGGAGGAAGATAAAAAGAAAGCAAGAGCTATGAGGTTATTCAAAAGCTATTTTTGGCTGTTTTAACTTTTAAGTCACTACAGTGGAAGCGTTTTTTGTTGAGAAAAATGCACTTTAGTCTTTATGTTCTGAGTTTTGACCATATAGTTGATTCAGTACCTATGTATTCATGTTTCATTACTAGTCTCTATATTTAGGTTGAAGTAGCAGGTTTTTACCTCTTTTCCAATTATCACTTTGATCCAAAATGAAAATGCTATTTCATGGGATTTAATCCTTATTGTACATTCTCAAAACTGTTTTATACGTAGTAGAACATTTGTATAATATCAAAATTAATGAGTTTTTAAATAGTTTTTAGAATATATAATCAGAGGGGTAACAGATGCACTTTTCTTCCCCTAAACATTAGGAAGGATTAGGGCATGGCATGTTGAATAAATCTATATAACTTTTCAGGTTTTCACAATCTGAGTCTGATGCTCCATCGCGAACAAATGGAAAAGGAAAGCCTGAGGTGATATTTTTGTATATCAGGCAAACTTACAATTTTCTCTGGATTTATGACTCATCTGTTCCTTACTTGAGCGCTATTTCACAGGGGGGAACTGTTTCTGGGGAGGCAGGAGAGACCTGAATTATGTAAGATGTAGTTCTAAAGTAAGTTTGCAGTTCTGATCCAACCATGAGACACATAAAATTCTGCAAACTTACTTTTATTGGTTGCTATTTTTTAGTCTTATATTCTCCTTGAGCTGTAATATAACATTCTTACTTTTTGGTTCTTTGCCTTGTACTTTTTTGGGATAATTCGGTTTTCCCTTTCTTTTTCAGGCTAGCAGGTTATGAGTCTGACATCTTGCAACTTGACTAATAGCTTTTTAGGACAATGGCGAGGAAAGTTTTCCTCAAGTATTCGAAGTGGTTCTTGTCTACATACAACATATATTTTTGTTTTTTTTTTTTTCCAGTGAGCCCTCGGACTGTTGGAAGCAACCTCTGTAGTACGTGTATCTTCTCAAATGGCCAGAACAATGTAAAAAATGCAGGCTTAAAAATTTTGTAGTTCAAGAATCTATGGTATATTCGTATCACAATACAAGCTTGATTTCCTAAAATCTTTTCTCACTTCTTGATATTTATTTGCTTAAACATAGATGCTAAGAATCTAATTTCAGGACATTCAAAACACGTGATGCATGTTTAATGGTGAAAATGAGATCTTGAAATCTTGAAAACCCGGCGTATAGGTGTAGGAACAATATTTTCAACTTGAGGTATCGGTAAAGCGTGGAAGACCAGCAAATATAAATCATAAACAACTTTTTCTTGCATTAGTTGATCGAGTAGGATTAGCTTGTACTTTGGACTTATCTCGTTGCAACTTTCAACCATGCTTTTACTATCCTATTTTGAATCTATATATAGCCTTGAAGAGAATACTAATATAGTGAGATTTAGTACTGGTATTCCAATCTAAATTTCGTAGAAGTGGATAGGAAAATGAACTCACATCTTATTTGGGTTGAAGGTGACTTAGTAGCAGTCTATTATGATACTAGGATTGACATTGTGAAATGGCCATTTTAAGAGAATTTGATGCTAAGGAGGTGCTGTCTGACTGAGTGAATTCTGTGCGGTCACTGGAATTTAATACTACGTTTATTGTTGTATGTATTAGAACAAGTGCAAGACACGAGTATGTAATCTTGATGCTTTGAGCTTGTCCTGTTGTTAATGTCTTCCACCTCTCTCTGTTCGCAATGCTTCTGCATAATTTCTTCTGATGAGTGATAACATCTCATGAGACCGTTCGTTATCTGCTCATAATTTTCTCGTATTTAAACTTAAGCACTGCAAGGTTTTGAATGTCGTCGGTAAACGTTTTATAACTCTCTTTTTCGAGACCGAACGTGTTATGTGTTATCAGGTTTTTGGGTTCAACTCTCTCTTGTCAGCTATCACATGATTAGTGGTGGGCCCAGGCCGGGCCTAGGCCCGACCGAGACGCCGGTTAGGAAATGTTGGGTCCGGGCCGGGCCTCTAACATTTTTTTCCCTTTTGCTAATTACCCCCGACCCCCCCCAACCCCCAACCCCCCAAACCACCCCAAAATACCAAATGACCCAAAATACCCAGCCCGACCCGGGGATTTAAAAAAAATTGGAAAAAAAATTAAGCCCGGAACCGGGCCCAAACCGGCCAGGCCGGTTCATGTTTTGGGTGACCCGAGCCTGGACCGGAAACCCCTCGGGTCGGGCCTACCCGGACCGGTCACTGGCCGGGCCACCGGTTCAGGCCGGGCCGGAACAGTGCCGGTTCCGGGTTGGGTCACCCGGCCCGAGGCCATGACTACACATGATTCTCAATTTCTCATGTGTAAACCGTTATATGGGTGGCGACTACCTCGTCTCAACTCTCAAGCTAGTAAGGGTGGGCACTATATGGTTCTTAAATCAAAACAAGAGTCAAAATCCTAAGAGCCTTGCAATCAAGAAATGCAATGGGCGCATACATCTTTTTATTTGATTCCCACTTTATATATAAAAAAATATATAATGGAAACTTGACTTAGTAAGGGTTGGTTTGCAAATGATTAAAAAAAACATTTCTCAGTTTTTGACTTAAAAACATTTATTTTATCAAACACTATCACTTTTATTTTTCTCGGCTTTCGTGTCAAAAGTGTTTTTACTTTTTCTATACACAAAAAACACTTATTTTACCAAACACTACCAACTTTTACTTTTCAAAATCATTTTTTCTCAAACACTATCAACTTTTATTTAATCACTTCTTCCCATTTCATTAAAAAAACACTTTTTTAAAGCAGAAACTGTTGCAAATAGACCCTAAATGTTATCAATATATCATGGCTTTTACGGGGGACACAATTATGTTCAACTACCGATTGGCTCCTATGTAACACTACGTAGAGCCCGTTTGGTGACACCTTTTCTCGACTTATCAGGCTTATCAACCAGCTTTTTCACCAAACACGTAATTTTTGTTTCTGTGTGCTGAATTTTGAAATAATAAGAAAAAGTAAGGTTGAAATTACTTTTATGGCTGTATTGACTTAAGTTACTGTAGAGGGCTATTTTTTCATATAATTTTTTATTTGATTAATTAATAACAAATATTTGAAATATAATTTTTCATAAATCAGCATAATCAGTCAATATAGCCACTTCAGCCAGAATGTGATAAATTTTAGCAGAATTAGCTAATTCAGCCAATTTCAGTGTTACCAAAGCTCGTAGTAAATTAATCTTTCTTAAAAAATGTTGTAAATTTTTTCACTTTTTAAATGTTTGTAACTTTTTTCTACAAACATATCAAATTAAATAATTTTTCATAGACAACAATATTGTATATCTAAATTTTAAAATTATATTATGCAATTCTAGTTACTCCATATTTAGCATAGCTTTTAATAATAATTTTTATTCTAATTTAATATAACAGTATTTATAGCATATCCGATCATAAAAATTATAAAATTCGATGTATTTGATATAAAAGTACATATACGGATGAAATAGTTATAATTAAAAAATTGGCACACGATTGGCAATTGTGTTATCATTATATTAAGATACCAATAGAACTTTTTTTTAAAAATCAAATAATCATTTTATTGATAATATCTTAACAATCATAGCGTTCAATACTACACTAGGGTGAGACAAAGAACAAAAACGCCATATAAAAGCACTTATGTTCGCTAACCCTGCAACAATGTAGACTCGTAACGCAGTGTGTCTGCTCATGCTACTCGAAATGGGTTCGGCTTGACCAGCCACCGAAAAGGAATTATTGAACTTAGAACTACTTTTAATCATCACACGATTCACATCACTATAGATAATTGCAATCGGAGATAGTGATATCTCATACTCCGTATAAAAAACTAATTCATATTCTATGTTAGTCTTACTTGCCATGTATAATGTATTAAAAATCGTTCATTTTCTTTCAAAAAAACAAAAAAACGTTCATTTTATTATCTTGACACCAACCTCTTTGCATAATAACTTCACAATTTACAAATGAACGCAACTTCATGTGATACCAGGTATTATTTATAAAATTAAATATTTATCCATTTTGACATATCAATTTTTTCATTCAACTACAAAGTACCAGAAGCATTTGAATTTGACGTGAGTTTTAGAAAAATACGTAGTAAAAGAAATAATTGTTGTTTAAGAATTGTAATCTCTAGAAAGAAGAAAATTGTTGTTAATTCAACTGTAGTAATCTCTAATGTACAAAGTAACTCAATTGTAGTAAAAGAAATAATTGTTGTTCATTCAACTACAAACTTACGATCTCAAAAAAAAAAAACTACAAACTTACAAAGTAATGGTCAACATGTTTTACTTTTATTCTTATAAATTCCAATATCAAAGTTTTAACTTCATATTTTATTTCACACAATACAAAACTGATAATGTCCAAATAGGACGAGGTAATATGTAAGAGCATCCACAATACACACATGTCTAGTCTACATAAATTGTGCCACATCATTAAATTAGATTTTGAGTACATAATTTGTTCTCCAATAGTTGTAGTCTTTAATGATAGTTCGGTGACATGGCAACAAAAAATTTAGACGGCGAGAAGCAAGATGTTTGAGCAATTGAGTGTAGAAAGAGGTAAAACACACCGTACAGCCGGCTGTACCGCGCGCACGGTACAGCCAGTCTTTTTAAGCTTCCTTCTCGCCTTAGCGACGGCTTCTCCAACAACGCTTCTCCGATCTTCGTCCCTGAATTTGCGCTTCTCGCACAGACTTCGCCCCTGCTTCTTCAATCTTGCTGATTTCTCGCGCACCAGGCAAACCTCTCCTCTCGCCGCTCTCTTCTCCTCAAGTTCTCCTGCTGCGCAAGAGACGACGGCTCTTGGGAATTTCTTTGTTGGCCGGTGCTACGAGAAGAAGGATAGGGGGAAGACAGATTGAAAGATGATTTAGGAGTTTGAGTTCATACTTTTAGTTGATGAATCTGGAATGAGTTTATATTAAACTCAAATGAGTATAAGCTTAAAGGAATAAAGTATGCTCATTTTGTAGGTTATGTATGCTCATTTGGTACCTCTTTATGCTCATTTAAAAATTTTGCACATTTCAAATGTATCATACTACATTATGTTTAACTCAAATGAGTATAAAGGCCAAAATGAATGAGCACACACAAATGAGCTTTTGAATTTTTTGATACTCATTTTTAAGTTATGCATGCTTATTTGGTACCTCTTTGTGCTCATTTTAAAATGTTGCACATTTCAAGTGTATCATACTATCTTAGATTTACAAATCGAAATTAATTGGAATTGATTAAAAACATAATTTAAGAGTTTTTATAAACGGAAAATAATAAAAAGAAGGGATAAGGGTCAGATAGGGCCTCGAACTCGAAAAAAAATGTCAAATAAGGTCATATTTAGGATGCTCTGTCCGGCCGACGCCATTTGGGGTGGTTCCCGATGGAATTTTTTGATGAAATTTTTTGAGCATCTTCCTCATTAAGTCTAGTTTACTCATACCAAATTTCACCTAAAAATGCAACCGGGAAGGTAGTCAAATGATTTTCCGAAATGTACGGGGTTGTTTAACTTCACAATTATCTTCAAAAAATCATTTGACTACCTTCCCGGTTGAAATTTTACCTGAAATTTGGTATGGGTAAACTAGACTTAATGAGGAAGATGCTCAAAAAAATTCATCAAAAAATGGCATCTGGAACCGCCCCAAATGGCGTCGGCCGGACAGAGCATCCTAAATATGACCTTATTTGACATTTTTTTTCGAGTTCGAGGCCCTATCTGACCCTTATCCCTAAAAAGAAAGCGAATCAGAAGATATGAAGCAGAGTACGCTAATGCTCATTTTTAGGCTCCTAATACTCAAAAGAACAGTCTTCGTACTCAACAAAATAGCGTTAATGCTCATTCAAGATAAGTCGGATTTTTCATCAAAATGGCAAAAATGCCACCGGCTGCACAAAAGAGGTGCTTGTCTCTCGTTATGCTTGGTCAGTGGGTCTCCACTTCACCGATTCATTGCGCTTCTCATCTATGATGAACTGGTGTTGACGATTCGTCCTCCATACAAAAATCTCCATTCTCTATTTTCAGATGAGTTAATTATAATATTGTAGTCACTCGGTATTTAATAGACCCCTACAATAGCTCCTGACACAAGATTTAAGAAGGGAATAATAGGGATAATGAATCATGTATAAAAAGTATGAGAGAATGTGAAAAAGTAGAAAAGAGAAGATAAAAAGTAGAAAAAGTAAGAGTAATTGGACATTTTTAAAGATTTTTTTTTATCAAAAACAGAAAGTGTAACAAATTTTTAAGTACGGAGGGAGTATAATTTTGAATTTTAATCCGATTGGATTGTTGCTTGTTCGTTGGATCAAAATAATCTTATGAACCAGCTATATGAAGATCATTTACATTAAAGTTTGGGAAAGCTGTCAGATTGGTCCACCTACTTTAGACAAAAAGTCAACCAAGGTCATCCACTTTAAATTTAACCAATCAGGTCCACATTCTTTCAAATTTGAGTCAAAATGGCATTTTGGGCGGTTGCCAGCCGGTTCCCCAGTTACCCTCTGATGTGTCTGCTTGCGTGGATTAAAAAACATTTGTAACAATAATGAAATAATCAATAAAATCTCTCTCCACATCACCCCTAATTTGAAGGGTTTGAAATTGTTACTCCGTTTCTCATACTTCTCCCGTTCTTCCCAAACGGCTTAGAGTTTAGCGCTAAGAGTACCCCTGTGAATGGCAAAAAGTTGTTCG